AAATATTGGGGTTTGTCAATGAGACATTAACCCGACAAAAATAGACAAAATATATATAGATTAAGCCGGCATCAACAGCATGCAGACAAATGTAAAAGGAGATGTGGGGTAAAGATCAGTATGACGGCAGTTGTTTTCTCAAATGTGGATCCAGGATTTTGAATCTAGATAAAGTGACCCCCCCCCCCCCCCCTCCACTCTGAAGTAACTGTATTAAAACAAAGTCAATGTAGGACTTTCTTTGAGATATTATTGTGTCTGGGAGACACAATTGATGCCCCTGTAGATGCAAAGTGTTATTTTAAAATAACTATAACATTTGACCGCTTATACCCCAAAAATGACAAAGTTCAACTATCTCCCAAAAGGGCAAATATCAATAAAAATCAAAAACATAACCACATGCACATCTTCAATATATGTACAAACAGACAGCAAAGTGAAAACTTCCTAGGATTCTAACTGTAGGAGGAGTTGTGCTGAATAACTATATAACCATAATGGGACGAACGGACAGACAGACAGAAGGACAGACAGGGGTAAAATAATATGCCCCCAACTTTCAGTTGCGGGGGCATTAAAAGGGGTCATCAGGCCCCAAACTAGACAAAGTTTTGAGAGTAATAAAAAAATCTGGATTTACCATAAATGTAGCTCCATAAGGGCCATAAAGGGGGGACCCAGGCACCCCACTCCTAAATCTGTCTCTGATATTAACAATTGTTTATATGTTTCTGAATATTTTATAAAAAGACTTGAAAGATTATGTTAGAAAACATTTTTATAATGATATTTCGAATAACATATGATTTTTTAATGATTTTTTGAGAATTTGAAGATTATTAAAACATTTTGTTAAAAAATATTTTTTGAACTTTTTCAAAACATTTTATCCTGCAGAAATGAATTTTTATATGTTTTAAAAAATTTTCAGGTGATATTTGATTAACAAACACATTCAAATCATTTATAAGACATTTTACAAACATTGTCGTCAAAATTCAGTAACATTTTAATGATATTTTAAAAGTATCATGAAAATGTTTTGAAAATATTTTTAACGCCTTACATTTTTGCATGATTTTGATATTTTTCTACAATATTTTTTCAACATTTTTCTATTTTTTTTGGTGTTAGCAGTGGGGAAACAGCACCACATTAGAACAAATAATAAAATCAATTGCATGTAAATCCATTTCATCTTTTATGCATATTTATTTACAATGTATGTTTATGAAATTAGAAAGAACACAGCAAACACAGATAATTCTGGAACCAAGTTGAATTACATGTTTCAGATTGTTTATTCCCCTGCCACAGCGGAGGAGGGGCATTAAGTTTTACCCTTGTGTAACTTTTAGACAATACAAGGACTCTTTTAATGTGAATTCGGTTGGACGACACTTTTCTATCACAAACTACTTTCTTCTGATCTAGTTGGAATTTCCCTTTCAGAAAAGTTTGTGTGTTAATATAAGGAACTGTCTTGGCTAGTAAATAAATCCTGTTCCATAATTCCACTATTTGCCATTTGTTGTCACCTTTGTCAAATTTTTTTTTACATCTGGTTCTGACAGAAGTATTGATCCTCGCACTTGCAGCCACTTGGATTTTAACCATGAATTCATTTCAAACATAAAGATGTATCCCATTCATCACTTCATGGTTGGGTAAAAAGTCTGTTATCCATGATGGCTTCTGAAATATTAAAACAGGAAAACACAAAGCATCATTTATTTAATAAACTGCAGGTTCAGAAATTTTTCTTATCATTCATAAAGGACAACAAGCCTTTAATGCAGGGATTTGTGTGATGTTTTTTTCTAACAAAAATACTCTTGATTTCCAACTTTGAAGAATTAAAAAAAATTGTTCTGACAGCTTTTGCCATAAGTTTAATGTAAAGTCCTTAGAAAATTCAGACTTTATTGCGACAAACAAATAGAAAAATTACCATGGTTTTTTTTAGAATGCAATATAGGGATTGTCATATTTCCCAATACATGTAGTTCTCTTCCTTTCATGCATTGTTTTGTCAGGGAAATATATTTCACTTGCTATAATTAAGTGCACAACATAATTATTATTTCTTATTTACAATGCAAACAAAGGTAAAAGGGTGAAAAAATGTGAAGACTAGGAAAAAACTTACAAAGTGTGAGGGTATATTTGAAGAATAAAATACATCCTGTGTCATCCCCCTATTTTAATAAATAATAAACTGTCAAATTATTGGGCTGTTTAATCGAGAAAAAATAAAACAAAGAGGTTAAATACTGTACTAAATATAAGAACATTATAAATACATAATAACCTAATCCTGTTGTTATATAATCTCCTGGCATGACATGGTTATCAGCTGGTTATGGCAAACTTGGTCGAATATTTTCCGCCGGGTTTCCCTAGATATTTTTGATGGGTGGATCAACTCTCTTGATGCCTTCTCTCCATTTTAAAAGAATTTCATGGTCTTTTGGGAATCTGTGGTCCCCCTTCAGAATAATTGCAGCCGGGGACACAACAATTTTGGAGCTTAGTTTGGTGAAATTAGCTAGTGTCGATTGTGGTTACTAATGTAAACATGTGCAACGTAATGCGATTCAAGCGTCAAATTGATTAAAACGTTTCCGACAACCACCTATGGAACACCAGCGACGTCTACAGGAAGAAATATTACGAATGATCCCTATTTTGAAAATGTTTGTATCATAGACTGAAGAATATGTGGCCGAGTCGAACCCTTTACAGTTTCTTAATTAACATGCCGAGGAAGTACATTGATGAAATTTGGAATGACAAAAACATTTGCCAGAGTTATCTCCCCTGTTCCATTGTAAATTCCATAGTAAATACTTTCCTATTGTACGTGAACAAATAGTAACGTGCAACTCTAGGGTACGTGAACAAACAGTTACGCGTAGCTCTAGGGTTTGTGAACAAAGTGTTACGCGTAACTCTAGGGTACGTGAACAAAGTGTTACGCGTACCTCTAGGATACGTGAACGAAGTGCTACGTGTACCTCTAGGGTACGTGAACGACCTGTTACGTGTACCTCTAGCTTACGTGTAACCAAATGAATTATGACCCGAACACCAGCGACGTCTACAGGAAGAAATATTACGAATGATCCCTATTTTGAAAATGTTTGTATCATAGACTGAAGAATATGTGGCCGAGTCGAACCCTTTACAGTTTCTTAATTAACATGCCGAGGAAGTACATTGATGAAATTTGGAATGACAAAAACATTTGCCAGAGTTATCTCCCCTGTTCCATTGTAAATTCCATAGTAAATACTTTCCTATTGTACGTGAACAAATAGTAACGTGCAACTCTAGGGTACGTGAACAAACAGTTACGCGTAGCTCTAGGGTTTGTGAACAAAGTGTTACGCGTAACTCTAGGGTACGTGAACAAAGTGTTACGCGTACCTCTAGGATACGTGAACGAAGTGCTACGTGTACCTCTAGGGTACGTGAACGACCTGTTACGTGTACCTCTAGCTTACGTGTAACCAAATGAATTATGACCCGAACGGCCCTTTATAGATCTAAGTTGGACTATCTTGTGTCTAATCCTTTTTTTGTGAGTTTTTGCAAATAAAATATGTTTAAACTAAAATCATGTGTCATACACAAAATAAAAGTTCCATTTTTTTTTATCTATGCCGTATTGTATCTGTATTAAATATCAAAATAGTTTTACCCCAGTCCTCATCTGAACCCTCAAAATACACTAAGTGGTCGAGTAGGTTTTCTGTCCACAGGCACTCGGTGCATGGAACCTCCCTTTTCTTTTTCATATTTTTCTTTTTGTTTTTTGTTTTTAAGATTTTATTAAATTATCTGAAATATTTTAACTTATTTAATGTGCATGTTCGCGTATCAAACCATTCAAACAATAGCAGTTGTTTATACGTGCTGTGATTGTGTTCTTAGCACGTATCTTATCAAGAACACATTAAATGAGTGTAAACATGTCTAGAGAGGTTAATTTTTTTCTGAATTTATTTCACAACTAGGCCATTTTCAAGTATCTCAAGTTTGACCTAAATTCATAGTACTATCTTAGTCGTATTTTCTTCAAGATTATAACAATATGTTGGCTAATTTCTAAAAAAGAGGCGATAGATACCAAAGGGATATTCTAACCAAATCGCAAAATTGTAAATGCCAGAAGAGCCGGAAGATAGTTCAAAACCGAATGTTTGACAAATTTGAATTTTTTTTTGTATAATTTATCTTTAAAATGTTTAAGAAGGATATAAGTTGCCAAAACAAAAAATTTGGTAAATAATATAGCGCTGTATTATCTTTTAGATTCAAATTTAATCATTTAGGTTACCAACGTCCTTCGATGTAAAATTTGTCAAATACATGTAAAAGAGGTAGGTCAATTTCTCCTGAATTGATTTCACACCAGGTCCATTTTCAAAAAGTCGTTCCATCTTCACTAAGATTCATAGTACCACAGTCCCTTATCAAATGGCAAAATCAAAAGCTCAAACGAATGGAAACAACTGTCATATTCCTGACTTGGTACAGGCATTTCCTTATGTAAAAAATGGTGGATTAAACCTCATTTTATATCTAGCTAAACCTATCACTTGTACGAGAGTCACATGGAATTCCATTATATTAACAACAAATGTGTAAAATTGTTAAATGGTATTTTAATTATGTGATATAAACGCATTCAATTTCTAGTGGAATAAAGATAAATATATAACACAATTTTTTTAATTTCAGCCGGTGAGTGAAACAAATACAGTGGAAATTGGCTGCAACCCTTTTCCGTCTTCTATGAAATTACCTTCAACAGCATATAGCGCTGAATAACATTTTGAATTTACTGAAATATATAAAACTGTGACACAATATCTTACTGTATACTACATATATATATATTTTTTTTATGACCCTATTAAGATAAAGAAATCAGAGGTCTATATTTTAATTAGATTGTTGTAACAAACAACTTATTTTTACAAAACACTAACCTGCAGCACACATGCAAACAGCAAAGACAAATAGTATTATAAAACTCTGGCTAATGATATGTTTCTAGATTGTTGTGATATACTCCTGTTAGACAATCGTTTTGCAAATGCTATTGTAGACTACTGCTTTTATACCACAGTAAAGTGTAGCAGCTGTTCTATATCACGAGGGAAGCCTTCGATTCCTACCTTATCATATTGTATGGAATTGACAGGCAGGTACTTTTAATTGATATTAATTTGATATATAACTAGATATAAACGAAAAGTTTTGATAATACATTTTTGCGATAGTTGAAACTATTCACTGTTAAATAAAGTATAAAAAATAGAAATAATTAAAAACTGTGTTAAAACACAACATGCAGTAGATGTATGATGCACAGTAAAATTATGTACAAGAGAAATTAATTTATATAAAAACACTAAACTATTATTCATGTTTATTTTATTTTATTCATTTTTTAAGTTCCACGTTGATATAAAGTTTTGCTAAAATCTAGCATTATGAATTAATGTATTTTGGCAGCCATTTCGAAAATAGTGGCCAATGGATAATTGTTTTCCTCTGAAATCCTTTTTGAATAGCATATTCAACTGTGATACCTATTTCGTTGAAACCCTAGCACAAAAAATGTTTCTCAAAATTTGAGATCCTTTTAAAAACAAAAACTAAAATCTTAACGCAAATTTGACACCAGAATTCAATTTGGAATAGCATTTTATACATTTATTTCAATTTTTGTTGAAATTCAAGCACAAAAAAATGATTCTATATGAGATTTTTTTTTACCACAAATTATATTTCACAATTTCACTTACCGCCAATTTTAAACTGGGAATCGATTTGGAACAGCATATGATATCTACACATCTATAAATTTCTTTTAGCTGAAATCCTTTAAAAAAAATTTTAAAAACAATTTGACTTTTTAACAAAAATAAAGTTTTTACCGCCAATTTTTCAACCAATTTCATAAAAGACACGAGTAATAAATTTGGAATAAGATATTAAACCTATCAATCATTCTACTTGTGAGAGGTAAAACACTTTTGACCTAAGTCTGTCATACTAAAATGTAGGGTCAATTTGGCCTGTGTATGTTTAACGCAAGAATTTAATATCTTTAATTTGTCAAATCCTATTGAAAATTGAATAGAAAAAAGTAAAATAACAAAAATACCGTACTCCAAGGAAAATTCAAAACGGAAAGTTCCTTATCAAATAGCAAAATTAAAAGCTCAAACACATCAAACGAATGGAAAACAACTGTCATATTCCTGTCTTAGTACAGAGTCTATATCATATACTTGAAATATATTTGAAAATTGTGCACATTTCTATAAACCCAAAATGTTATTCAGCGCCACATATTCCTGACTTGGTACAGGCATTTCCTTATGTAGAACATGGTGAATTAAACCTGGGGCCAGTTTCACAAAGCTGTCTTAGGACTAAGATATGTCTTAGGATGGTCTTACGACATATCTTAGTCCTAAGTGGGTTTCACAAAGTGGTCCTAATTTAGGACATCTCTTAAAGTTGGTCATAAAGTTAGGACTACACGAGAGGTGTCTTATGATGGTCTTAGGATAGTCATAAGTTTATTTTTATGAATTACACTTATTTTTTATATTAATTTTGCAAATTATGTTATTATTATTTGATTATCTAATCTCCTTGTTCTACTCGTAACAAAATCTTTATAGGTTGGCGGATTATCAACAATGATTTATCAACAATGAACATTCGATTTATTTATATCAAAAATGCACGATTTTATCCTTTAACCTTTTTATAACCGATACAGTGAAAACTTGAATTCAACTCACTTGTACAAAATCAAATAATCATCAGCTTATTGTTTTTTTTTCTCAAATTTTTATTTGAATTTTTATATGCATATTGGTGTATTATTGATAGATTATTTATATAAATTAAACTAATGCTTTATATTAATTTTACAAAATATCTAATTCTGGAATGTTAATCAATACGTTAAGTAATTTATTGGAAACACATAATACATTTACATGAATTTTTCCATGAATCCATGTTAATATTTAAAAATTTAAAGAACTTGCGACAGGTTTAGGATATCTTAGCTAAGATCATCCTAAGACAGCTTCGAGGCGAGGTCTGAGATATGTCCTAGGATAGTCATAAGAGGATCATAAGACATGTCCTAAGATATATCTTATGACAGGTCTTAGGATAGCTTCGTGAAACCGGCCCCTGGTTTTTAACCTCTCACTTGTAGGACAGTAGCATAAAATTATATTGTATTGACAACAATGTGTGAGCAAAACAAAAAGACATAATTGGTAAAAATGTCAAAAATTGGTGGTACAGCAGTTAACATTGTGTTATAATCTTAATCACAATAAAAAACAAACAACTATATCAACAAATGTTTTAAATTCTTTACTACCCCTCCCTTCTCTTTTGGTCTTCATCAGAATTCAATTTGGCCGCTATCCATGTGAAATTAAGATCCTCAAGTTGTGTCTCTATTAGATGAAACATAGAAATCATTATCTGGGAACCAGTAGGTAAACAAAACAAAATATCTATGAATATTTAATTTCTTTCCAAAAGAGGCGTGGTTTGTGAAACTGCTGTATTTACAAAGTGCAACCTATAGCTCGGAATATTATTTTTATTTCTTCACAATATTCTTTGTCTGTAAAACAAATGTTTTTCAACACAATTTGTTTTATTCAAAATAAACGTTATCAAATATATTTGAAATAAAAATCAATCTGTTTTTCTGTAGAAACAAGTGTTGATATTATCGAAATGCTGGACTTTTTAATCGACAATATATTTGTTGAGTTTGGAGGATTGATTTTTCAACAGACAGTCGGTATTCCAATGGGTACTAATTGTGCACCCCTTCGGGCCGACTTGCTTTTGTACTCGTTTGAAGCAGAATTCACTCAGAACCTTCTAAAAGACAAAAAGAAAAAGCACCTTTTAAATTCTTTAATTTTACTTTCAGATACTAGTATATTTCAGTCAGTACTTGCATCTCATATATCCCAGTGAACTTGAAATTAAGGATACTACTGATACAAGAAGGACTTCTTCATACCTTGATCTTTCCTCAATATTGACACAGATGGACGACTTCACACTAAAATCTATGACAAACGGGATGATTTCAACTTCTCATTTCTCAGCAGTAACATACCCTCTGCTCCCTCGTATGGTGTTTACATATCTCAATTGATACGTTATGCTCGTGCATGTTCACACTATACGGATTTCATATGCAGGAGTGTGCTCCTTACGCAGAAACTGCTCCAACATAGTTATAAGGAGAAAGATTAAAAATGACACTCCGTAAATTTGATGGACACCATCACGAATTTGTTGATCTATACGATGTGTCTGTGTCTAAACTAACTAATGACATTTTTACCACGTCTTAGATTGTGGTTTAACATCTATGTCGTCTGTCTGCTAAGTACCGAACGTGACCTATTCCCGAATATGACTGTTTTGCCGAGTGTGAATTTGCATTGCTATACGACGTGTTTCGGTATTTTATACATCCAACATTCATGTATTTATCTATGATGTTTATGTTGTGGTTTCAGTTGGATAATGTGTATGTCTTATTGTTTGAAATCTAAATATTTATAAGATAGCCTTTCAATACCGTCATTATCATGATAATTGTTTGGACTAGTATTGTGTAAATAATTGTATGAATTTCAAGATTATATATATGTTACAAAAATACGTCACTATTTGTGATGTCCTGTGTTGTCTGTCGTTAATGGAAGATGTTTGTTGTTATTCTGCGGTTTACTTGTTGTATCGACTATTATATCATTTATTTGTGCGTTTCTCTGTGATGAGTGTTCTTGCGTGTGTTTGTGCTGTATTTCTGTCAAGTACTTTTTTCATTTTATCGATATTTTTTAACATTGCCATATAAGCGGGAGGTTTAACTAGACATAAAACCAGGTTCAACCCACCATTTTTTCTAAAGATGTCTTGTACCAAATCAGGAATATGACAGTTGTTATCAAATAGTTCGTTTCTATGTATGTTGGCGTTTGTTTTTGTTGTAGTTCAGTGTTTCTGTTGTTCTTTGTTTTCCTCTTATAGTTGATGTGTTTCCCTCGGTTTTAGTTTGTAACCCGGATTTGTTTTCTCTCAATCGATTTATGACTTTTGAACAGCGGTATACTACTGTTGTCTTTATTTTTTGTATCTCCAATAGATATATGATATATCAAAAAGCTAGACAAATATTATATAATAGTTAATGTTAGATTAAAAACATAGTGAGATTAGTTTCGATGAAATGACACTACTAACATCAAAAATCTAAGAGATCGTTATTGCTTCATTTCTGTAAAAAAAAAGAAGGAGAAAAAAAAAAGATTTATTCCAGTTAAGGGACCCGAAGGGCATAAACATTTGACATAACAATAACATTATAATTTGAGTGTGGCTGATTGTATTTTGAGAAAAAATAAATATATGAATAACTTTACATAATTACATATATAAAGTTGTTTAGCCAAAAATGTTCAGCATGTTTACAGTCCTTCCCGTGTCACCAGAGTATGATACCTTAAAGACTGCCTAAATATATATGTGGAAATGTCTGTATCCTACATTATATACCTGAATCAAAAGCCTAAAATGTAGCACCATAGCTTACTTGAATGTTATTGACATCCGGGGGACGATGCCATTAGGATATAAGTACTTTTTCATTTAGAGAAAAAAGGACGAAAAAAAGAGTGTATTAATCGATATATTTCTTATATTTCCATTTTGTATGGACATATATGTGTTTGACTTTTAAACAAATAATTAAATACAGTCAAAATTCATTTAATAATCTCAAGGAAGATGTTTATATATTTAAATGTACATAGTATTCTAAGTAAATCAACATTTTCTACACAAAAATGCCAAATGGTTTTGTTTTTTTACTGTTCAAACCGTTAAGAAGAAAAAAGGAAAATCGTCTGAAAAATATACCGAAAAAGTATTCTGTACTTTGTGTCTTTTGTTTTTTTTGTTTTTGTTTTTGTTTTGCTTTGTATCGAGCTGATGAGTTAAGCAATTTTGAACTGGTTTTTAT